CCACCAATGCTCTCAAGGCGTTGAAATAATTGCTGTTGTTTGTGCTTCTCTCGTTATACTTAAATTGCCCGGCTGATTATGATGCTTTCAAAGGAACATTCGCTTTCACTGTTGTCTTGTGTGGCTAACGCTCGACTTCGTAGAAAGTATTTGTCATTCTTCGACATGCAATATATGTAATTACAATACTTTCCAATACACCACAATTATCCGTGCACATATAAAATGATTAACAAAGCACCACTGGCTTACACGAAAGCGGTAATTATATTCAAAGATTCATATAATCAAAAAAATATAAAAACTCTTTGCACACACAAACTTCTCCATTTATACTGAATTCGGTGACCGCAAGCTATGTAACGGTCCTTTTAATCAAATAAATATGTACATATATATTTAGAATATAACAAACAGAAAAAGATAACATAAGAGAAATATGATTAGCATATTGAAATGTCACAGGGTGACCTAACATATAAAATGCTCATATATTTAGTTTTGCAGAAAACAAATGAGGAGACCAATTGAAAATGGAAGGAGTCCATTCATTTTGAAGCCCTATCGAGCTGGGAAGATTGCGCAAATATATTAAAGAGACATTGACTATATCCCACGCCGTTATTCTAGTACACCAAACGTCCAAAAAAAAAACACAAAAAGCAAAGAATCAACGCACGGGTTATTCGTTTGCTGGTCCCAATCCAACTTGCTCAGTATGTTCGAGTTCCACCCATATAACCCAAAAAACTGCGACCGCTTCAAGGCTCTGAATGTGCAACAACGTTACGACTTTGAATTAATTGTTTGTTGCTATTGAACTGCCCATCAAACTATAAGTACAGAACTTGCCAACATCATAGTTTATTGCATCATAGAACTACACCAGACTCATTGAGCTCAAATTTGCCATGTCGTTCACACACACATGGGCAACTCATCAACGGATCATATAATTCTCGCCACGTGGCCCGTCCGGCAACTATCGACTTGGCCAAGCATTACTAGATTCTTGCTCACAAGTTAACTTCATCACGAATGAACTGTCGCAAAAACTAATGGTCCCATATAATATTGAAATTCAAGGTATTGGTAAGTATTCCACTTATTTTAAGTACAAGACTTCCACTAATATAAAGTCTCAAGTGGCGGGAGTTGTATTACCACTTATATTTTGCATCAAATCAAACAAAAGTTATAAACCTGAACCGGAAACAGATGCATCATCTTGGAAAATCTTATCCAAAATTGTACTTGCTGCTAACCAATTCGATAAATCGATGAAAATAGACTAGCTATTGGGAACAGAGAACTTTTTCGGTTTACTTTCTGCAGGCCAAATAAAACTCGAAGATAGTTTACCAGTTTTACATTAAACGCTATTGGGTGGGCCATTTCTTTATGCTACAGAGCAAGTTCCAACACCTGTAGTATTGAATGTTTAGTGGCATACGATTCAATAGATGATAGGTTGCATCGTTTGTAACAGAAGTCAATGCATCACGACTTATGGACAAGTGAGCAACATAACTGCAAAAAATTGTACAATTACTCCGCTTGTAGGAGTCTCAGTGGTCGCATAGTGGTCAAACTTCCGTTCAAGGATGATCCTACTTGTTTGGGAAACTCGTATTTGACAGCTCATAGGAGATTTAACGCACAAGAGCGCGGCTTGTTACGATCACGTAGCCTCAGGACAGAGTATGTAGTATTAATGGATGAATATGAACGTTTAAGACACATGCAAGTAATTCCAAACCCACCCTGTGCGTTTTTAAGCCGAGCAGGACATCGACGAAGTTGAGGGTCGTATTCGATGCATCTTGTAAGGCAACAACAAATCAATAAACGACATTCAAATGGTTAGGCCGACAACCCAAGACGAGCTCGTTATCTTTAACTTCGTTTTAGATATTGTAAAAATGTACAGGCAGGTATTAGTACGTGAGGAGCATCGCAGTTTCCAGTACATTTTGTGAAATAGCTCGCTCGATCAGTATATTCAAACCTTCCAGCTCAACACGGTTACGTACGGATTGGCAGCTGCGCCATACATTATCTTGCCGATCAATATGTTTCAAAATTCATCGTTGGATCAAGTATTGTAAAATCATCCTTTTACGTCGATGATTTGCTGTGCGGTGCTGACATTGTGTCTAGAGGAAATATGGCATATGAGCTTGATATCTCAATTTGGTTCACAGGACCTACGTTTCTTTACGAAGATAAAAGCAAATGGCCTACACAAACGATGACATTGACATGAAAGTAGTAAAATCAGAAGTTCGAAAATCTGATTTTAAGGTAAAAAAAAAACTCATGGGTTTGAGTTATTGATATTTGAAACACAAAGGCATCCCATTTCCTTGCCCACTAAGTGTGAATTCGTCTCACGATACGTTCGATACCTGCATATCAAAAACTATCACGCATGACTAAAATCATTGATACATTCGTCTGCAGTTCTGGATAGTCAAAGACCGAAACATTGCCATTGCTCCAGCAGATTATGAGTAATTTGCCCGTTGAATGCCTAACACCATCGCGGCTTTCGCCCGGTGTGGTCGATTTTTGTGTAGATACATATCAGACCATGAACCTGTTATATGATTTTGTTAAGACCGCAGCTTATATTAACTTAGGAGAATATAAAATAAATCAGTTTAATATTGACCACCGTCGCGTTTACCTTTGGCACAGCCCAAATAATTTGCATGTACATATGTAAACATTTTTACGGTAAAGAAAAACGATTTCTTATCCAATAGCCACCTTTAATCTAAAATTAAATAATGAAAACGAATTTTTCATAACGTTAAATCTAATTGCCCGTTTCGAGACATTCACCTTAACATGAACTCCAAAAAAACGTCCCTAAATATAATTAATTTCCACTTCTCTAAAAAAAATACAATTACTAAAGCAATACGCTGTCTGCTTACAAAATTTCTTTGAACTATCTCTAAAATCATGAGATGATGGTTTGCATTCAAAAGTAGATATAATAAATAACTTTTTCAATTCGATTGAAATTTGACGGGTGAATATCTTCCCTTTTAAATACTTTCTTACAATATATTTTCATATTGGCAACTCTTGCGAGTGCAGAGTGAAAGTGAAACCTTTTAAATAAATAAATTTATGTTATTTGCACGGATTGGCGCTCCAACAAAATGAAATAATAGAAAAAAAAACAAATAGAAATACTATGAACTATATGTGAACAGAGACAAATATATTATAATAATAATAAAATAAATATAAAAAGCTCTGGGGTCAAAGAAAGGCGCCTAAAGGTATGCAGGAAAATATGCATTTGCTTGTGCCGATTCCAAATTAGAGTTGCCTAAAAGCCAACAGCAACAACAAGCGCCACAACAACAGCACCTAAAGCGAACACAACGACTGGAAAAAGAGGCTTCCGCTCTTGTAATCCCCTCTAGGACTACCTTACCAGCTCCTTCATGGGCTCCATCGCTTCTTACCGCAACTCCTCTAGCTCCTTTTGGAGTCGAAATATAAGACTTTTCCGCAAATAGCGCAAAGCAGTAATTCAATCGAATCGAATCGATCGCTACATTCTTGTAAAAAGGAAACGGTCACCCCAAAAAAATGAGGAACAAAATCAAAACAATTTTGTCAAAACTACAAGAGAAAAAGGCAGCATGAGCAATAATCGATTTCAATAGCTTTCTAATGCTGAGAGCTTAGCAGTCATCCTAAAGGGCATTGAACACAGTGTAATTCCCTCGGAAATAGAAAGTGCCTTGAAAGAAGAAGGTTTCAGGGTTAGAAACGTATTCAACGTTAAAAATAAGACTAAGATACCTCAGCCAATGTTTAAGGTTGATATTGAGCCAGATTTCCAGCTCTTAATAAAGGGAGGAGTTCATCCCATTTACAAACTGCCGTACCCTTTTCAAGTCCTGTTCAGTGCTTTAATTGTCAAGAATTTTGCCATACGAAGCGATATTGCGGTTTACAAAGTATATGTGTTATTTGTGGAGACTTTTACAGTTAAAGACTGTTTGAAATATAAAAGAACCCTTGAGTCTAAAAAATGTAGCAATTGCGGTGAGAATCACATCGCCAATAATAGGGGTTGCCCAATAAAAGGCAAGGGCAGTAAAAAGTTTTTTAGCAAGAAGACTCCTGGATACGACAGGATAACGGGTGATATTATAAAAGAACTTCCACACATACTTTGTATATTTAATAGTATATTGAGACTACGCTATTTTTCTAAATCCTGGAAGCTTTCGGAGATTATTATGATCCCCAAACCAGGTAATGATCTAACTTTGGTGGGCTCCTACAGGCCTATTGGTTTAATTGCGATATTTTCAAACATCTTTGAAAAACTTTTATAAAAAAAAATTACCGATTTTATAATCGAAACAGACCATACCATCCGATTCGGGTTTAGAGAAAAACACAACACAATAGAGCAGGTGCATAAAATCGTAGCACACTTAAAATCAGCTTTTGAAAACAAGCAATAATGTACTGCAGTGTTCCTCGATGTTGCTCAGGCATTTGATAAAGTTTTGCACTTTTTATTAAAATGGCATTTTCATATTTTCCGTTTTATACAATATTCGCTTTCTTCATTATAAGAGAATGATGATGATATTATTGGTGTTTATGATGCCTATTGATTGACCATATCCGATACAACTTAAAAGCCATGACTGTTAACAGTGATGTAGAAGCCGAGTTGCTAATGCAATGAATGCTTGAGTGATGGCAGGATACATTTCGTCTTGCCCTCATTCACTGTCAGTACCATTCGCCTCGCTGCCTTATCCAGTCTGTGTTGAGTCCAATAATGTGAATATAATCGGCATAATCTAGTTCAGATCTGCAGCGCGTATTATTTTCCATGCCACCACGATTGATATCCTAGAAATTTTTCCCTACTATGGGTTTGTTTACTGCTGGTACAATACAAACCAGTTGTACCTTTGCAAATTTATAATTAAAAATAAGGTTAACACCTCACTAATATTTATTTCAAAAATTCAGTTAAGCTATAAAACAGGTTTTTTGACTTATTTATTATTATTTTTCTAAAATTTTATTCTGAATTGGATTCGAGTGCTGCCTTCTTTTTTGTGTTAGGTTATAGAAACCCGCAACAATTAATGCAAATGAAATAATGCAAGCGAGTAAAGTGCCATATTTCAAAGCATATTGTATGGCATTCAACCCGAATGTGCTTATGTAAAGGTTGTCGATTACCTCATCGGTAAAGTCACCTGATGTAATTTCTATCCATATAAGTGGTAAAACGGTTCCTTCCTTTATGCGCCCCAATTTCCCTGTAAATACATTTTCAGCTATTATAATTTCATATCTTTAACAAAAACATTTTGTTTTTTTATGTTATAAAAATTGTTCTTATCATATATTCACTAAATAAACTATATATAATTATTTTGTATGTATATTTAATTTGTAGTTACTTAGTATATATCATTGGGACACACTTAACTTCAAAGATTGGGTAATTGGTCATTACATATATGACAATGAAAGATTAATTTTCTTTGACGTAATCTCACTTTTCCTAACTCAGCTAGTAAGTAATAAAAGAATACTCCAAGGTATTTGAAATTAAACAAAAAGATATAAATGCAGTTGAAAGGTATGCCAATGAGATCTCCAGCATCGCCGATCATTGTCCATATAATAGAAAAGCTCTTGAATCGCACTATTATCCCCTTAACTGTTTTATATCGAAAAACTGTTTCGCTCTGTTAATAATCCTGCGATGACGAGTATGGTCGGTATAAACAGAGTAAAATGTTTCTGCCAATGTGGCCAAAGATGCCTTTTATGAGCACATGGAGCTGCCCCAAGGTGCGTAAAGAAGGTATATTTTGTACAATTGACGGAAAATTCAGACTTCGCAACGAAACATCTCCTGATGGGTTGAGGCTGATCAACTTCGTCGGGGCCTGAAATATGGCTATCTGTATCACTAGATTCTAGCACAAAAAAATACATCAAGGTACTTTGCTGTCCTCTGATGGAAAAACTCAAAACCAGATTGATCATACTGTGATAGACGTAAGATATGTCTCCAGTGTTTTTGAGGTGCATACACTTCGTTGTAGCAAAGATACGCGTCCATCTCTGTGAATCAAAGAACGCCCGTCAACAAACGAAAGGAAATTTCGACGTCTACAAGCTGCAATGCGACATCTAATTAGAAAGGAAAGTATTTTATGAGAAAAAGCGTCGACACTATCTCATACCGATTTCGCATTGATGTTATAAGATTTCGACAGCGCGCCACTGATATTGCTTGTCCTACCGTTCTTACTTCCTCAAAAAGGACATCCATTTTTAGGATATTTTTAACACTAACGACTCTTTTAACGTCATCCCAGGTAGTTCACGTCTGGACTGGATGATGGTCATTCTAAAACATTGATGGTATTTTCGTCAAAATCATTGTTCGCCAACATTGCGAAGTGATTTTGATCGATATCCTGTTGAAAATTAAAATTCGATTTATCCTATGGAGTGGACCACCACTATTCCTGGAAAATATTCTCATACCATGTTTGATTCTTTACTATGCTTTACTACGCTTGAAACATCTTCTTCCTCTATATTGCCGTTGGCACCGCTCACGTAATTATTGCCAAATTAAATGTACCCATTCCACTTTTCTTTTCACTGTCTGACGCCAGTTGGAAATACTTAGTGAAGCCAGGTCACTCTCCACTTGATCATTCCAACGGATTCTTCATCTTTATCTGCTTCCACCACACCGGCGGGTACTGCATTTCATTTCAAAGCTGGGAATTCGCTTCCATCCGGACCACATGACCTAGCCAGCGTAGCCGCTGCTTCTTGATTCCCTAGACTATGTAAATATCATCATGTAGTTCGTAGAGCTCATCGTTCCATCGTCTGCGGTATTCGTTATTGCCAAGGCGCAAAAGACCATAAATCGTTCCCAAAACTTTTCTTTCGAAGACTCCTAGAGCCGAGTCATCAGATATTGACATTGTCCACGCTTTGCGACATATAATAGGACCGGTATTTATTTATGTACTTATTTATTTTTTCAAACACATAACCATCCGTTATTTTATATTGCTTGAACTTAATTCTGAAAACTTAAAAATAAACATAATAATAGCATCGTAATGAAATCATTAAGGCTGTCCTTTTCTCTCTAAACATGTTAATAAAGTTAAGGGTTAGGGATTTTATTAAAGGAAAAGTAGTATTATATTATCAATATTTGCAATATTTATAAGAATAAGTGTGCAGATTAGCAATTAATAGATTATGCAAAGTGATGTAGGAGTTCGTTTCCAAAGCGCAGCGTGCTCCGATCCTTTGTGGCAGAGCGTTCCAAAGACAAACAGCAAAAACAAAGAACTGAAGTTCACATATCAGGCAACTGTATTTTATGCTAAGTAAGTTAATTGAGAGGGTAGATCAAGTGAATTGAACTCGTTTTAAAAGATATCTGGGCTCCTGAGAGCTAGTAATTTTGTGAAGTAACATTAGCCACTTTAACGATAGAAAATGGTATGGATACTCGTACCTGGCGATGGTTATTTAGAGAACATTGGCAAACAGTTCGCAACAATACAGTAAGGTCGGTAACAAGAAAGTTTTTGCTAATAGCCATCGAGTTTTTAATGGTGTGAAATGCTGAATACTCGTAGTCCATAAAGCACGAAGCATGCCATAAACCTCTATTATACTATGAATATGGTTATTCCAAGACAAAGTTCTATTGAAGATCATTCCTAGATTTCTGGCGGTATCCCCGAATTTAATAACATAGTTATTCAATTTCATTTGATTGTAGCCTGCAAGTTTGAAAGGTTTTTTTTGAAAATAACAATGCTCTGCGATTTACTAGGATTTAGAAGGAAACCATTATGGCTGGCCCACTTGCTAACGTGGTCTAAATAGAGGTAATTAATGCAATCATTGACGGAGTCAAAATGGCATCTGACATATAATTGAAAATCAGCTGCGTATAAATGACTGTCACAGTATTTTAATACACTTTAAAGGTCGTTAGCATATAAAACAAATAACAGAGGCCCAATATTAGATCCTTGTGGAATACCTTTAGTTACGTGTAAATGGTTCGATATAGCGTTACCTAGACATACAGCTTGCGAACGATCACTTAGATATGATTTTATTAAGTATGTTGCTGTCAATGAGAAATGAAACAAACTGCTAAGTTTCAAAGCTATCAGTTCGTGGTTCACAGTATCAAAAGCTTTGAAATAATCCAAAAGTGTTAATAATGTTACTCGATTTTTTACTATGCTGAATGTGGTGTCTTCCGAAACCGTAATTAGCGCCGTTATACAACTCCTGTTAGATTTAATGCCGGATTGGTACCGATTCTTCAGCATGTTTCGACTTAGGAAAGAATTTATTTGAGCATGCATAATGCGCTCAAGCTCTTTGGATAAGAAGGGTAGTATTGCGATATGTCTGAAGTCTCCATTAGATTTCTTAATTGGTATGTTTTTTGCCGACTTCCAACTTTGAGGAAAAACAGACGAGGTCAAAATGGTGTTTAAGGCATATGTTACATAAGGTAAGCTTTTAGGCAGTATACTTCTAAGTTGATGGCGGACTCGACAACTGCACACTCATCAGTATTTGAGAACGTGAAATCAGATATAATTCAACTGGTATAATTGCTATATCTTTCCCTACATGTTTTACTGTTACAACCAGATAGTTGTACAAATTTTTCATTTAACTTGTTCACGTTTATATCCTCGGAGAAGGAATCAGTTTTGTTTCCAATTCCTATTTCACGAATATAAATCCATGTTTTTCTAGAACCTACTGCTGTACAAATCGATGCTCGTAGTATTTAAGTTTTTGCAATTTTAGGGCTTTGTTGACTTTTCTTCTATGAGTCTTGAAAACGGTATAAGTTGCTGCACATTTCATACGTTTCCACTTTCGATAAGCTTTGTTGCGCTTATGAATAAGACTCTTAATATAATTATAGAACCATGGCCGATTGCGCCTGTTGTTTTATTTAGTTACGAGCGGCGCCTATTTTTCAGATCATCGTGTAGACAGACTTCCAAGGTGTGACATCAACAGCTACTGCAAGGCTTTCATAATTGATAATCATGAAATCTCATTGTCTCGAAATCTAATATCAAAAAAATGAGGTCGTGTTTGGAAAATTTCGGAACGGTTCAAATACGGGCAAACATTAGTATTTTTGACTTATCAGTAAAAAAACATATATTCTATAAAGTGCTACATGTTTGATGTATTCACCGGAAAATAGCCAGATTTTGCATTGCTTGGGATAGTTTGTTTTCAGTAAGCAAGTAAGATTTTCAATAAAATCTATGAAATTGTCAAAAGCAATCCTACAACTATTTTTGTATAATTACTTTTTATTTCGGCAAAGATGTATTCAATTGGACTAGAAGGTTCTTATGTACATTTAATTCTACAGGACAAACATGATTTGACAATAGTTTCGATTTCCTTGAGTTTTTTGACTGGCGTTCTTCGATACACAGAGGCGCATGCGTGTCTTCGCTGCGACAAGAAAGTGATCGGAGTTGATGTTAAGACTTCAGAACGTACGCATAGCAAAAACGCAGTCTTCCGTCTACCACAACATGATCGATCTCGTTGAAATTTATTCGATCTGGAGATTCTGCCAGAATCTGGTGCTACAGACTCATCTTGGAATGTTTCGTCGCGGGAGCTGAATTTTCCTACAGACGTACCAAAAATACCTTCTTTGCTCACCCTAGCGTTGAAGCCGCCAAGGACACTTTTGACGTCGTGGCGGGGGCGGCGCTCATAAGTTTGCTCGAGCCGCTCGTAAAAGGCACCCTAGGTCAAACAATCATTCTCGTCCATCGTGGTGTTGGCAGAAATCAGCGTGGTGTTAAAGAAGTTAATTAAGCCAATTAAGGGACCGAACATTCCAGATGCATACTCAAAATTCGTAATTCTCAAAACATTTTAATGTGGTGGGTCCCAAACCCTACGTGCAACCACATGGGATTCACCATCTCACTTTAGCTCGCCTCCAAACGGATGTGTGTTGGCTACCCAAGAGATACGTGATCTATGGCCGGAAGTCGTAAGCTACTTGAACCATGTAACTATTGAACAATTGTTTCTAATTAACTGCCGCAATTTATTTTCTTTACACCAAGTAATGCATGCATAAAGTGAGAAAGTAATAATGGTAATTGAAAGAAGCGACCACAAATTTGGAGGCATTCAGTAGTAAATAGAATAACAAAAACAATGCAAGTCTATTTTTAAATATATC